GGTGGCATAATTCATTACAGAAAATTAATATTAATTTTAATTACATAACTCACACATGGTTATATGTAAACATTTAAAATATTACAGAAAAAGCTGGAGTGCAGTCGGTTAAGCGTCAAACTTCAGCTCAGGTCATGATCTCACAGTCCTGGAGCCTCAGAGCTTGTAGCCTGCATCGGATTCTGTGTCTCCCTCTCTCTCTGCCCCTCCTCTGCTCATGCTCTGTCTCTTTCTGTCTCAAAAATAAATAAAAACATTACAAAAAATTAAAATATTATAGAAAAAGCTAAAGACCCTTTGTTCCCTCTTCTGATCCCGAATCCTTCTCCCCCTTCTAACAGGTAGCCACTGTTACGTTCATTTGCATGTTCTCTTTTTTAATGCATTTGCAGGGGTGCCTGTGTGGCTCAGTCAGTTACGCGTCCAACTCTTGATCTCAACTCAGGTCTTGATCTCAGGGTTGTGAGTTCAAGCCCTGCGCCGGGCTCTGCACTGGGTGTGAAGCCTCCTTAAAAATAATACATTTATGGGGCTCCTGGGTGGCTCAGTCTGTTGAGCATCCGACTTCGGCTCAGGTCATGATCTCGCGGTTCGTGAGTTCAAGCCCCACGTTGGGCCCTGGTGCTGACAGCTCAGAGCCTGGAGCCTGCTTTGGATTCTGTGTCCCCCTTTCTCACCACCCCACCCCTGCTTGTGCTCTGTCTCTCTCTGTCTTTCAAAAATGAATAAACATTAAAAAAATTTTTTAATAAAAAAATTAAAAATAAAATAAAAAAATAATGCATTTAAATACACATACATATATAAACGTACATACACATAGAAATTTTATCTGTGTTTTACATAAAGTTTCAGATTGTATATGTCATATTGTTTATATCAACCAGCACTAACTTCTTCACTCAACAATAGGTCTTGGAAATCTTTGTAAGTTGCTACAAATGGATCAGCTTCATTATTTATAAACTACTGCATAATTTTTAATAGTATAGTTATACTACAGTTAATTTAGCCATTCTCCCTTTATTGGCCCCTTAGATCGTTTCCATTATTTTATTAACAGCTATGATGATACAGAGAACATTCTTGACAATGCATCCTTGTGCACGTAGACAAATGTTTCTCTAGGATAGGAACTGAAAAATGGAATAGGTCATGGAGTGTGCACATTAGACAGTTTAATATCAGTCTAATAGTCTCCAAGTGGCTGGGCCAATTCTCACCCCACCTGTGCTGTGCGAGACCACAAATGCAGGTGTTCACTCTGCAAGTTTACTTGAGTGCCTATCAGTGTGGGAGCTTGGTTCTAGGTGCTGGGGACATAGCAGGGAAGAAGATAGATGAAAATCTATTCCCTCATGAGGCTAATAATTTAAATGGTTGGAAGATTTAACTTCTGCCAGTCTTAGGGGTAAAAGTTTCCCTGTCACTTAACTTTGCTATTTGCATTCATTCTTTGGGGGCTCAATTGTAAGAGGTGAAAGCCAGGTAGCTCACCACCAGAGCTGGGTGCTCATGATTCTTGGGGTGCAGGTGTATCATTAAATGCATTTAACCAGTGACACAGGGTAGCGGTTACGAGAGGGATGGAGTGAGGATGGATGGAAGAAGGAACTGGTATCCTCCCAACTGGTGTTCAGAAGGACCTAAGAGTCATGCGTGTACAAGCAGATGTATATGCAACCTCCTCAAACCTTACATTTCCCCTTCTAAATATATCAAATATATGCATGCAAATAAATAATCAAATATATGCATGCAAATAAATAATATGCCATTGATGGGGCGCCTGGGTGGCGCAGTCGGTTAAGCGTCCGACTTCAGCCAGGTCACGATCTCACGGTCCGTGAGTTCGAGCCCCGTGTCGGGCTCTGGGCTGATGGCTCAGAGCCTGGAGCCTGTTTCCGATTCTGTGTCTCCCTCTCTCTCTGCCCCTCCCCCGTTCATGCTCTGTCTCTCTCTGTCCCAAAAATAAATAAACGTTGAAAAACAAAAATTTAAAAAAAAATAATAATAATAATATGCCATTGATTATTAGACATACTATCAAATTTAATTACAATCTTTGGGGGTAAAAAGACACCACATGAAATGAATTCATTCCATATTTCAGAAATGCAAACATGTAAAAAGGAATCGTGCTTTAGGTATGAGGACACATGATACGCCTGTATCTGTAGAAGGCTCTTGGATGTAGAAGGGTGGGTGCAGTGACCTACTGTCATCTTTATAAATAAGTCCAATTTTAAAGTAAAGAGGGCTGGGGATATGACATAGGATTTGATTTCCTGGCCTCCTCACTCCTCCCCTTTTGAGCTTGTATCAAAGGGACCAATGTCAGAGCCACCCTCCTTACTGGGGTGATGCTGAGAGTTCCACACTGAACTGAGAGGACAGGGATCAAGGGTCAGGGGTCACAAAGAATTTTGAGAAATTTATTTTGGCATATTGCAGGTATTGCTGAAATCCTCGCTGCCTGACCAGTAGCCTGAAAGGGTCAGTCCAGGAATGGCAGCAGTAATTGCCAATTTTGTCAGTATGCTGTATGGCTTACCCAAATGCTTAACAGGATTTGTTTTTATTTATGCCTATAGCAACCCTGAAAGGGAAGTACTGCTATCATTCAAGTTGAAGAACCAGCCTTAAGGTTGCACAGCTAGAGAGGCAAGGAGCTGGACCTGGAGGCCAGGTCTGCTGACTCTGAGCTCAGGATATGCCTTGTCCTCCCTGACGGGGCAGGGGGGCTGGGCATGGGGATATGAATATCGAGGGCTCACCTTTTACTTGCCCTCTCATCCCTGCAGGGCTGCAGGACAACGCCTGGGTATGTGACTGCCGCCTCTATGACCTAGCCCGTTTCCTGGAAGGCTGGGCCCCAAACCTGGCTTTCATAGAGGCCAGGCTGAAGTGTGCCAGCCCGCGCAGCCTGGCCGGAGTGGCCCTCAGCCAGCTGGAACTGAGGAAGTGCCAGAGTCCGGAGATCCGTCCAGGGGTAGCCAGCCTCAGGTCCCCTCTGGGCAGTGCAGTATTGCTACGTTGTGGGGCCACCGGGGTCCCTGGGCCAGAGATGAGCTGGAGGAGAGCCAACGGGTATCCGCTCAACGGCACAGGTTTGTGAGCTACAGGGACTGTGGTGCTGAGATTGCAGACTGAGTGTGGAGGCGGGGGGGTGGTGCAGGGGAGGGTGGGGATGTCAGCATCTTTGGTGGGAGGTCAGGTCTGCCAAGGAGAGGGAGGTCAGCTGAGCGAGGCTGTTTACTCCTGTTGTGGCTGAGTGGAGGTAGACAGGCTCTGCCCAGACAGAACATGGGACAGTGGCTTCCATGATGACAATAGCTGTCAACCTGCCCTACATATTCTAGAAGACACTGATCAGGGCCCACCCTGGGAGGAACAAAATGCTGCCATTTTGGTGGAAGATACTCTTAGTGTATTTGATATTTATGGTAAGTTTCCAAGTTGTGAATGTTAAGCCAGTTTCACTAAGAGTGATTAATAATATGAGTTACCATCTACTGAGCTCCTTAGGTGTTGAGTACATTATGTGCATAATGTCACTGAACTTTAAAGAACAACCTGGTTATCCTTTTTGTTTTGTAAGTCAACAGACTCTGAGACGCTAAAAGCTTGGCCTACAGCACACAGCCTCCCATGTTATTTTTGCTGTGTAGACAGAGATGGTTCATCTCTGGTACAGGATGGTGGGGTTTACCAGAGTCACAGCCTACCTGCGTGCAGGCAAGGGGTTGAGGAGGGATCGTTTCTTAGTGCATGACCAGAAAACCGCATGTCCTCGCAGCTCCCTTCGGGGTCTCCTTCAACTAGGCTGGCGAGTGTTGCTCTGGGATTGTGGGTTTGAAATCAATTGACAAACAAACATTGTATAAGGAGCTTCATTATGTAAAACACAAAGTCGAAGACACTCTGATGGAGGTGGCAGTGTGTCTGGGCAGGGTGGCAATGTGCTTCCGGCTAGGGCTCTGTCTCGTGTTCACCCTGACCCACCTTCCCCCACAGAGCACAGCCTGCTTCCCTAAGGAGTCCATTCTATAGGATTCCAGGGCCCTGAAGAATACAGATTTAGAAGGCAGATCATCCTGAGACTCAGCCTGAGCCTAGGTCTCCCCAGATTTGAGCCCAGGTGATCTTGATCCCCTTGGCTAGTCTAAGAAAAGTTGAGTAACTCCCAGTGGTTTCTCAGGATGACAAGGTCTCCTATGTATACAAGAGCATGCACAGTCCAGGGGCCGTGAACTTGACCCTAGGAGGAAGCTTGGGGCAGATGGGCCCACTCATTTTCCTGCTTTATGCTTCTTTCCCCTCAGTGCACCAGGAAGTTGCCAGCGATGGCACGAGTTGGACGCTGCTGGGCCTGCCTGCTGTGTCCCACCTTGACTCAGGAGACTACATCTGCCAGGCCAAGAACTTCCTGGGAGTCTATGAGACTGTCATCTCCCTGGCCGTCACTGAGCCCCAGGCTTCCACAGAACACGGTGGGAGCCCAGGGTCACTGTGGGCAAGGACAGGTGAGGGGGTGGAAGCTGCCGCGTACAACAAGATGCTGGCCAGGCATGTCCCTGACATTCCTGGACCTGCTGTCCTGGCCACTGGGCCCCCTGTGTCCAACATGAAGGAGGAGCTGACCCTCCAGCACTTCCAGATGGGGATCCCAGGAGAACGCTCGAACGGGCAGGCAGGACGCCAGGAGACCCAGATGGTGAGGTCTCTCAAGGTGGTGGGAGACACTTACCAGAGTGTGACCTTGGTGTGGAAGGCCCCCCAGGCTGGGAGCATAACTACCTTCAGTGTCCTCTATGCTGTCTTTGGGCAGCGCAGCATGCGGAGGGTGGTTGTGCCGCCTGGAAAGACCAGCATCACCATCCGTGGGCTGGTGCCCAAGACCAAGTACGTGGCGTGTGTCTGTGTGCGGGACCTGGTGCCCCAGAAGGAGCAGTGTGTCATCTTCTCCACGGACGAGGTGGTAGACGCCGAGGCCACCCAGCGGCTCATCAATGTGGTGGTGATCAGCGTGGCTGTTGTCATCGCCCTGCCCCTCACCCTGCTTGTCTGCTGTGGTGCTCTGCGAAGGCGCTGCCGGAAGTGCCGTTCTGGGGGCTCCGCCGAGGCCTACGTCAACCTGGAGAGGCTGGGCCACAGCGAGGATGGCTCTGAGGAGCTGTCCCAGCACAGCCTCAGTGAGGCCGACAGGCTCCTCTCGGCCCGTTCCAGCCTGGACTCTCAGGTCTTGGTGGGCAGGGGGAGCAGACGGATCAATGAGTACTTCTGCTGAGGGGGGTGCTCCCCTCCAGGTGCCCACACACCTGCCACGTCCACTTTCTGTCTTCCACTCTCACCTGCTCACTCTGACACCTGAGCTCACACTCACCCACTCTTGCCCACTTGGGTTCCTGCTTACTCATACGTGTGCACACAGTGACAGCAGCTAACACTTATTAAGCACTTACTATGTGCCAGGAAGTGTTCTAAGTGCTTTACATACACTGACTTGTTTAATTCTTATAACAACCCTTTGCAGAAGGCCCTCCCATTTTCCTGGAGAAGAAACGGGGATTAACCGACTTGCTTCTATCAGTCAGTTTTTCCCATGTAACAAATAAAAGCAAAATCTCAGGGGTATGTAGCAACAGGCACTATTTTCACCCAACCTACAGGTCTGTGGGTTGACAAGGGTGTCTCTGCTTCATGAGTTCTATTTGGGGCCCAGGATGAAGGGTCAATGGTTACTTGGGGCAGTCTTTCTCAGAGAGGTCAGATGATATCAGAGGAATGAACAAAAATAGGCAATGTCTCTTAAGTGCTTGGCTTTAGAGCTGGCACATTGCCATTTCTGCCCATATTCTCTCTGCCAAAGCCAAGTCCCATGGCCAAACCCAACTTTCATGTGGCATCAAAGGACAGCTCTGCCAGGGAGGTGATGGGGGGCAGGAAATAGTTTGCCGAGCAGTGATCTAATCCACTATATTGCCCACAATGTACACACAACTAGAAGGTGGCAGTTCTGGAGTCAAGATCAGGCAGTTGGTTCCAGGGTTGACAGTCCTTACCATGCCCCTCTTCTGCATCTTGATTACATTTATGCTAACTCATAGGCACTCACACACGCAGTCCCTTGATGCATTAGCCAAATTTGTATAGTCACACACACACACAGACCCACGCTGTACCCTCACTGTGTACACTTAGGGATTCTAACATTTTTTTTCTGGGTGCCATTCTGCCTAGAGATAATCATTCGATTTCAATAAATTCAGTGAATTGCAATAAATTTGATTTGGATGATGCCCAAGAGACCACTGCTCATTTATTCTCAGATGTCAGGCTGGAGGAATCTGAGAGACCCTCCATGGTGGGCGACACAGTACACCCAATGCTGTCTGGCACACAGCTCACCTCTGTTCCCATGTAGCAGTCTTTGTTAGGATTACTGACATTACCTGCATTCCTGAGGGTGTCTCAGGGCTTTCCCAGTTACTCAGTAGGCCACTTCAAGGTGGGATTCCTGTTCAGTTTGCTTCAAGTTGGGAAGCCTCTGAGACACCTCTGTGAACAGGTGAAGATGAATGTTTCCAGCAGAAGGGTCAATGTTGTGTCTTGTCTAAAAGTCCAGGCTTTCATAAGGGGAGCATTCAGGGTGTTTGGTGCCAAGGCCGTTAGACAACAACGGAGAAAATTTGGGTACAGCAAGCAATCCCAGGGAACTATCCTGCTGGTATCGCCTGAAGTTACTGTACTCCCTCTCACATTTACAAAAGACCTTACAACATCTGACCTTACAACATATTTCCTTGCCTTCTCTTATTTGATTTTTACAACAACCCATTATGGAGGATGAGCTGCTTGATTTTAAAGATGAAAAAACTGAAGCCCAAAGAGTTGACTGATTTGTAGGGGGTAGTGATCAATTTTCTTGGAGGATCTAAGTCTTTGATAACTTTCTGGCCAAGCTGAAGGTCACTATTCAGGGTTGATCTCTACAACATGATCTACAGCAAGTTCATTACGGGAATGGATTTTTTCAAGTCATTGAAAACTGTAGGAACCATAAGACCACCAGTACACATGAGTATGGAATTTCCATATGTGGATATTTTCTGCCCATCACTCGGAGGGTACATCTGACTATAACTTATGGGCCATAGCCATTGGTAAGAGAAATTATTTGGTTGGAAGATGACAAAACCATTGTCTACAGCATGGGTCAACAAACATATTCTGTAAAGAAAGCCAGATAGTAAATATTTTAGGCTCTGTCACTACTACTCAGCTCTTCTGATGGAGTGTGAAAGCAGCCACAGACAATATGTAAGTTATGGGCATGGATGTGTTCCAATAAAATGTTATTTACAAAAACAAGTGGCAGGCTGGATTTGGCTCTCAGGCAGTAGCTTTCCAAACCCCAACGTAGATTCATTAAGACATTTCTGCTATTGAGACCCAAGACTCAATTCTGATTGTTTGATATATGAGATTGATAGGCACTCCCCAAATCAGAACAAATTAAGTGGATGAAAGCAGCCATCTATTGAAATGATTAAGATGTTTTCTCTAAATGATTGGCTGAGCCAATTAAGATTGAAAAATTAATGGCCCAAAGACAATAAACATCCAGTCAGTTTTATTAAACCTTGCTTGAAGAAAATTCAGGAACTTGAAAGCAAGAATTTGTTAGTATTTATTCAACATCATGTGAGTGTGTGTGTGTGTGTGTGTGTGTGTGTGTGTGTGTGAGAGAGAGAGAGAGAGAGAGAGAGAGAGAGAGAATTCAAACTTTTCAATAATTCATTAAGACCTGCTTTAGTGGGTCTGGATGGAATGACTCCAAAGATAGTCAGCCTCCCAATTTCCATCTTGTCAGTCTTCCTTTGTGTGTTCTGTCTCCCCTGGTTTGTTCTTGTAGAGGAGAACTATCCTGGATTATGCTCATAAATATTCACGTAACTGGAAAAAAATTAATTCCTGCTCTAAAAAATAAAATGATGTCTGGTTTATATATTGATCTTTTGGTATATGAGTCTGATTAGTATAAGTTGGTCCCTGAAAACCTTTTAGAGGGCAGGGAAAATAATTTCTTGTCTCCCAGTGATGAAGACCAACCTACACCAGGGTGGTCCCACAGCATGATGTCCTTGGAAGCCTTGTTTGGAGGTTGAATGAGATTGTGGCATCTCCATCATGTCTTTTTCTAACTACAACATAATTATATTTCTTTTAACCTAAGCAGGGCGTATGTCCAATGCCACTTATCTCAAGTAGCATGTGTAAGTTGCAAGGTATAAAAGGCAAGTAACAGAAATTGTATCCTAGAAAGTTGATGTAGGGTATTGAAATTACTCAGTGACCAGTGCCTTTAAAGATCCTAGAGCTGGAAATGTTTGCTTTAACTATCATATAGTCCAGTGGAGACAAAAACAAACTTAAGAGTACTTGAACATGTTATTTGATTGCAAAGGTATTGTAGTCAGGATAGGTTAGGCTTATGCTATGCTAACAATTCCCAAATTTCAGTGGCTTAATATAGAAAGGTTTATCCCTGCCTTTACAGAGTCTCCTCAGTCGTGGTAAATGTGGATGGAGGGTAGGCTCTGCTCCATTTATTCACTCAGGGGCCCAGGCTAATGAAGACTCCACCACCTGGAATGTTAACACTTGCTGTAACAAGGGAGAAAAGAAGCTGGAGAATCATGTAGGGGCTTTTAAAACATTATTTCCTCTAAAATGCCATTAACCAGAATTTTAGTTGGAAAGCCCACCTATTCAAGGGAGCTTGGGAATGTAGTCATTTGTATGTCCATCACAGACATGCCATTAGCATGGGTAGCCAGGAAGACATCTCAGATGGGGTTGGCAGCAGATGGAAGACTGAGAGAGAGCACTAGCTTGAAAAGAGGGAAAACAGCATGTCTGCTTCTGGATATGTCACCTAGTTCTCTGTCTGAGCCATCCCAAAGTTCTACTAACATCAGGGTGCCATTTTCCAAATGAATAGATAGAAAACTCTCTTATTAAGGTTCTATTAAGACTAGCCAGGGAGCCACCACACAGAGGCTATTTATATCTAATTATTTCATAAACGGAATGTCTCTTCTCTCATGACTATCTCTACTAATAATTCTAACAGCCAAGTTCCTGAACACATCCTACTGGAAGGGAGCTGAGGGTGTCATATTCTCAAACTCCTTCCCCTTGTGGTTAATTCTCTTGAGTTTTAGGAACACCACTTAACCACTAGTTATTTAAGGTAAATGACATAACCCAGCTTTAATTGCCCCAGTCTCTTGCCTTAACTGAAAACATAGGTGTTCCCTGTGCCCATATGCCAAATAAGGAAACCAGGAGATGAAGGGGTCAGGAGAGGAGAAGGAGCAGTGCAGAAGTGGCCTGCATGAGTCCAGAAATGACATGCCAGGGGATACTCTTCTCAAGCTTTCATCAAACCACTGGAAAGTTAGGTTCAGCTGGATTCATTTGAAGAGGATAGCATGGGATGAACAGGGAAGAAATTGTGGGGGATGAAGATTTCTTTAGGCCCTTACATTTTGAGGTGAGAAAAGAATTCACTAGTGGGTTGTGATGCAGTGAATTGAATCACATTTTTTTTTTTTTTTTCAAAAAGCAAGCTTGAAAAAATCTTGGCCAACCTGGTACAAGTTCTCTGGAGTGAGAATCAGAATTGTCTGCCATCAGGCCAAACTGGCCGGGCCCTTGGGCACCCCACCCTCAGTTGCTATATGTGGTTTGCTTTGGGAAGGGCATGACCTCATGCAAGCAATCCTTGCAGCTGAGCATCGACTTATTCCTTGAAGGGGCTCTAGGCAGCACATCTCCATGTCTAGCACAAGTTTTGCACCCATTTCACTCTCTTTGTTTTGATTTCTACCTTGAGAGGAACTTCAGAGATCTATCCAGATTGTAGAGCTAGACAAAAAACTCAAGCAAATATATCTGGCTTGGATAGAAAGCCTGGAGGGTAATCAGCTTAGTTGGTGACCCATTTCCCCCCTCACTGGTTAACTGCTAAGCGGATTTTCTTCCTTGAGGCCTTTTGTAGGGTATGATGTATATCATGAGTCTTAAGGGAACTCATGGAATTTCAATATTCACCAGGAAATACCCCAAGTAATAGGGAAGTAGACTTTTCTGCTTTTCAAGAGTCTGTTGGTGTGGGAAGGGAATCAGTATATCTACTGTATGTTAGGTACTTTATTCTATATAACCTCAAATTTTCCTAGAAATGTTATGACGTGTTTATTAATTTCCCTATTTTTCAGA